TTTTTCCAAAAAATCAATACTGGCAAGAAAGATTAGATACGATCGGATAGGCACAATTTATTGATGGATTAGCACTTACCTTGATTCATGTTAAATATGCGTATGAAAGCTAACAGCTCTGCGCTGATTGGGTTAGGTCCTCGATACAAGTTAAAGTGTGTGACGCCCGCGAGACCCAATTTGGTCAGTAGTGCGAGCTTCGTTTCACGGAGCGGGTCGCTCGAACTCACGCCGAGCGATATAGACAAACTATCGTGCTCGTTTTCTGGGTATACTAATCTGGAATTAAAGAAATTAAATTTTGGTAAGTTAGGCTAGGTAAATAAGTGTCATATATACATAAATGTATTTGGTAAAATATATAAAAACTTATCCTAGTATTAGTTTCTTTTGATAATTACGATGTTTTTACTGAAAATTTCAAAAGGTGCCTGCCTCATTGGTCGGGTGGTCGCAACTGTGACTGCCCGGCTAGCTGCCTAAGCTAGGCGTCTCGGGTTCGACTCCCGGGTCGGGCAAGGTATTACTGGGTTTTTTCAAAAGATCTTAGTAGTAGCACGGAGTCTCGAAATGAGTTCGGTATATGGCAATAGGCTCACCCCCTATTACATGGGACTCATAACATAAAATAGTGAAAAGTGGGTGTTGCATTGTAATGGCATTAAGTGCCGTAATGTGCACCTCTGCCTACCCCTTCGGGGACAAAAGGCGTAAAGTTATGTTTCAAAGGGCTTGAAACCTTCGATATTAATTTAATTCCACACAGGAATAGAGTATTAGTAGTAAGCTTCGTAGATTGTTACCTACACTTTAGAGCACATTACAAAATAAGCAATTAAAACATAAATATCTTATGTTTAAGGGGACAAACAAAACGAACGAACAAGCATTACGACATGAAATAACACCAAATCATATCAAGTTTCAATAGGAGACACAGATGTGTCAATCGGGTAATAAGTGCAAGTCACTCATGTCGAACTGTGAGTGATATAACTTAGGAGAAGCCGTAATGAGTTACGCAAGTGTTATGAATCAGGAACATCGGATACACTTGCATGCAGATTTAGTTACTGTTTCACTACGATTGCTTATTACATGATTACATTGGTATCGTTTAAATAATGAGTAAGCAAGGTCGAATGCTCCCGTCACTGTAAAACTCGAGTTCTGGGTTCGTAGATTGGTCACGAACTTATTTTTTAGACTTTTCTAATTTCTCAATTGGGAGGCTATAATACGTACTGTATAATTATCTTTTCAGTGTATAAATAAATGACTAGAGGATTAATTGAACATCAGAGGCCTTAGTACGAGTTTGATTTACGTTTAAACTATTCGAAACGAGTACGCGTTCGGCACTCTGATTGGCCGGCGCCAATGAACCAACCAATCAGAGCGCCGAACGCGTACTCGTTACGATTACTTTAAACGTAAAACAAACTCGTACGAAGGCTTCAGACCAATTTTTCTCAGGTAGAGGATACACTTATTGCTATACATCGTGTATGATAATAATCACGAATTAATGAATAGATATGTCTTTCAACAACCTCAATAATACATCCGAGGTGGAAATTGTACCTCCCCTTTACTCGTTGTCGTCGAATGATCAGTCAGCAGAAAAAATATAATCGAATACCGAAGCATATAACTTCTAAAGTCACAAGACACACATAATAAACGTTTACCAATTTACCCATTGTGTAGGAACAAGTCGGCATTCGGTCTTGATCCATAGAATATGAAGATTTGTTCACCAGCTTTAAAATCTCGTAGGGCGAAGCATTCTCCGCGCCCCAATTCCTTGTTATAGTCTGTTGTAATCTGAAAGGACATACAAATAAATGATAAAAATAAAAGCGATTGTAAGTGAGATATAATTTCATAATGTCTATAACCACTATCTTTGGCTATTCAAACAGGCCCTAAATGCAACACTCTTCTACACCAAAGCCCCATATAGTAAGAATGTTAGCGTACGGCGCGTCGCGTTCCGCGCGCGCCTCAAAGAGCCATCAGACCACGACAGATGGGGCCCAATAGGGCCGATGCCGATTCGGAGTCACGGAGAATCTAACGGGTAACCGGGGCTCCGGCTCGACGTGCAGGAGAAGGAACGAGGTGGTTTTTAGTCAGTAAGAATCTGACACTCCCTCCCGCCTCACCCGGGCGGGAGCAGTCATTCGATGATTTTCCACCATTAAAAAAAAATTGTAAGAATGTTCAGACTAAAGATAACTTAAATAATTCATTTAGGTATATAGGATACTTAGTTCAATGACAGCTATTTCCTTACATTTCAACGTCTAATAAACTCCGGTGGATACAACGTAAGTACAAGTGAAAATTACATTTCCGTGCATCAATACAACGGGCCATTATATTAAATACATAATATTAATGTTCCAGCTCTTCCACGTAACACGACTTATGAATAAGCGGCTTTTCTTCGAAAATTACTCCTTCCAGCATTTGTTAGTAGAAAGTTTGAAAAATATTAACTTTCAATAATACATAAAATGCTTTTATTATTTATTATTATCGTGATTTTCTTGCGACGTAAATTGATTAATGTCTGGGTAAATTGTTACACGTAATTATTGTTGCTGCGACTGCCTCGTTGTCCGAGTCGTCGCAAGTGTGACTACCGGGCAAGGGGTCTCGGGTTCGATTACCGGGTTAGGCCAAGTATTACTGGGTTAATTAAAAAAAATCTCAGTAGTAGCACGGAGTCTGGAATTGTGCCCGGTATATGGCAATTTTCATACTCAAACTCAAAAGCACTTATTTCAATTAAACCATGATTTGGTACTTTTGAAACGTCAACAAATCAATACATAGTATAAAACAAAGTCGCTTTCGCTGTATGTCCGTATGTATGCTTAGATCTTTAAAACTACGCAACGGATTTTGATGCGGTTTTTTTTAATAGATAGAGTGATTCTTAAGGAAGGTTTGTATGTATAATACATGCATATTGCACCCGTGCGAAGCCGGGGCGGGTCGCTAGTATGAAATAAATAATAGTCTGGCAGTCTGTCCGTAGGCTAATAGGCTATCACCCCCTATTACATGTGATTCATAACATAAATAGTGAAAAGTGGGTATAACATTGTACAGTGGCATTAAGTGCCGTAATGTGTACCTCTGCCTACCTCTTCGGGGATAAAAGGCGTAATTTTATGTTAAGTAATTATTGTGTCGTAATAAAAGGTATAATAGAAATGATTTTCACGAGTTTTCCAACCTCTTAGAACAAAAAAAAAATGTACTTAAAACTATAATTCGAATTCACACTCCGCTTAATATTATAATCGAGATGCTTGCTTATTATGTGATTATTTTTAATTTTGGTTCAAAACCATATTCAACACAAATGTAAATAAAAAAAAAAGATGTCCATGAGTAGACATATAATTATGGTTTGATAAAGATCAGTTCGTTTCCACGTACCTTTCCATGTTCATGGTTGCACATATCCCAGAGCGGTATGAAGGCTGTGACGTCAGCATCAGCAAGCTGAATGTTGTTCTGTCTGGTCATCACTGTGGAGACTGCCCATCTGAAATAATTTTAAGATGAAGTCTTGTTTAGTTTATTTTTAAGGTTTTCGAGAAAAATCTTCTTCAAAAATGCATGGAACATACAGACAAGAAAGCCGCAGAAACCGAAGCAGAGAAAAAACTATACATTATTAAAAATAATGGTACCTATGAAGTAACAATGAGCACATATATTTCAAACAATATAATTTAAACTTTTGTGGGTAAACTGCAAACTTTTACGTAATCTGGTTAAGAGCAAACATCGTGAGACAAAACATTTCCGTGTTCAGACTGTAACTACGCCAGTGTCGCACAAATAAATCTTCATTAAGAATTCGCATCGACCAACATTACTTTGCAGTTGGTTAAGACATTTGTTAGGGAAAAAGTGAAGAATTCCTTCATAATTGCCGTATAGCCGGTTTGTAAGACTGAAAGATGTTATTTGTGATAACATCGGAACAAATCACGCTACATTGTTCGGGTATGCTCACGCGCATTTCACCGGACAAGTTTTTATTGATTTAATAAATGCGTACATTGAATCGATGATTTATTGGATTTGGAATTGTAGCCCAGAATCGAGCAGTATACAGGATTTCATGACAAACTATTGCCTACGTAGTAGATAAGAGACTAGAATGTATTCGGTGAACCTACATAAGTCAATGTAAATGACGACAAGCAAAAACTAGGTTAAAAATATTACACCACAAATTGCTTCACCACACAAAAAATTACATAATTATACAGCCCTTTAAGAACATAAAAAATACACATTAGTAAAAATTTCTCCCATTTACATTTTCCACTTAAGAATACGTAACAATTATTAACATATGCATGGCTAGCGTAACTACAAACAATAGCTGTTGATTGAAACAGGCTCTTACTTTCAAACAATTGCGATTTTCACTCTTATAACGTTAACCTATTGTCTCATTTGCAGAAGTCTCTCGGGGGTTATCTAAGACCATTTTCACGTAGTTCATTAGGATGGGCGTGTTTGGGAATTATATTTATTATGGATTTCTTAGCGGACGGATAGAGGCTAGCTACTTTCACAATGCAACATTGTTAGTAGTGAAATATTTACAAACAAGCCCAATGTACGGCCGCAGAACAATGTGGAAGTCGTAGATAAAACATCCACTGCTACATGCCTACTAGTTATTTAGGGAACGTGACATGTCATTTGTTTATGGCATGCGTTTAGTTTACAGCTCAACGTAATTTAGTTTATCTGGTATGCACTAAATTATAAACAACAAACATGAGATTTAGTCATTGAACCTTTTGATTCTGTTAGGTATCTGTAAAAATGTATCGATTGAAAATATCTAAAATATCTCGTGTTGAAAATCTCTTCGGAGAAAATGCGGCGGAATATTATGTTATGTAGATATTAAGCTTTCAATTTCTTCCCGGTACAAATCTGAAATCATTGGTAGGAAATGTCCGCAACAGTCAGTAGCTTGACCATTATCATTTTTTCAGTTCAGACAACGAAGTATAACACAGCTTTCGAAAAAAAATGTATCTACTGATCTCGACTAGGAAACAAATAATGATTATAAAAAACATTACCCTCCTTCTTTGGCAGTCGGGTAAAAAAGACATGCAAATAATTTGCTGAACAATTTAGACAGTCACAAAATAGGTAAGTAAGTATTAGCGAAATGATCTGTGGCTTACAAATTATAGGGAAACGTATACAAAATGAAAGTGCCATCTCCAACCAATCTGAGTTGCGTAAAACTGATGAAACAACCAAAGTAATAAAGTTGGTGAATAAAATATTGTGATCATATAACAACATCAACTTGGGAATTGAATAGTACCAGGGTTTCTAGTCCTCGAACTCTTAAGAGGTTTAGCATTAAATATAACAATTAATTTTTGCGTATGAGTCTAACTACAATTTAAGATTCCATTCTATAACTGGGTAAGTATATTGTGAAAATCGAAAACCCAACTATACTCATGCTGGGAATCAAATTGGAAATAAACTGCTCAGCAGTCGCATTTACCTCGAGATCAATGAAGGAGTCAAGAAACTGACTTGACAAATATTTATTGTAGCAGTGATTATTAAAAGAACCGAGTGCAATAAATCAACATTTAAACAACCCTACTGCCAGTTGTCAATTAAATCAATTCATACTCAGTATTCCTCACGTGAATGGACTTCGATTGGAAATGCAGACGCTAAACAATAAATAAGGATCATATGGAAATTATATGTGCAAAATACTTTCTCTGGAATTTCAGTAACATTCGTGGAGAAATCTTATTTCAGACATATACTTATGCAAAACTAGCTCATGAGGATAGAGGTGGAAGGGAAGTTAGAACATTGAGACCAGCTGTGAGTCATGATTGATCATAATATTTAAAATCAGTTAACATTGATTCAAATTGAGATGTCTATTGAAATACGTAAGCAATAGATAATTTTAAACAGTTTCTATTTAAGCCGTAAAACGAAAAAGAAGTAATACTTTCTACCCCATATAAAGAAACAAATAACAGAAAGTTTAAACGTAAGTGAACTTGGAAGTAATTGTTGCTACTCGATATGGTCTACATCAACATACGTGAGTGAACGCTTAGCATATGATCTTCTAGTGAACGCGTATGATGATACGTTCTGATCGCTTGACTTATCCCATATAACGAGCTTTTTGTGTCGTCGCAACGATCTCACTAAATCAAGCATAATATGCGAGTGATATGGAAAGTAAGAGCGACGCGTGAGAAGTCATATGACGCTAACAATGACCCATACAATGTGCCATCAGATGAGATTAGTGGATCGATAAGCTTGGGATGTAAGATGCTCATTATAATAAATAATACTAGATACGCTGTTTTCATTTTCAGAAATTTTCAATTCGGTTCAAGTAAACTCAAATAGGTTTTTCAACTACCTTTTGTAGGCATTGATTTTTGGTAGACACCAATGACAATAAAAACTAACATATACACTAAGATCACGATTCTAATGTCGTAAATGGTACGGCAAGTGTAAAATGCAATTTTTGAGTAAACGCGTACATGACACAGGTGTAAACTTAGCACAACACTCATCATATTATCAAGAGCAGTTACGTAAATCTTGTCATTCATCTTCTATTTGTGACTTACACAATCTTACTTAGCGGATTATAGCTAGAAAATACAACGAGAGAAATGCTGGTGCGCAAGTGGGCGTGAAAATTCTAATTCTTACTTTGTCACGGCGGTACGCGGAACAAGTTAGCATAGGTAAGAAATATTTAACTCAGAAATTTACCGAGGGAAACAAGGAAACACTGGTTTTCGTACCACACGGAAGTTTTTAATGGTCGATAAAGTGTAGACAGTATCCATTCTAGTCAACTACCGTAAGCAATTTTATTAAACAAATATATGTCTGGCGTAAGAAGCGTGTAACCACAAACGATGATTTAAAGTCCAATTAATTTGTTATGCAGCAATTTACGTAACTTTTAACTACAATTATATTGGAAATTTTGGTCGTGCTTCAGCTTTTCCGTAGCTTTAACCTATTTATTGGTGACGCTGGTTAAAGCTATTAACTCACGCGTTTTATTGTTTTAATAACAGCCTCTCCTATTATGTATATACTAACGCTTAAAGTCATCAGAGGCCTTTGATGAGTCGATGTTCATGAGATGAACATAAAAACCTTTATTGAGTAAACGGGTAATTAGCAGCAATAATAACTAATAACATTTAAACAGTTTTTCCAATCACAATAAGCTAATAAATTATGTAATCGAAAAATGTCTAAATTTGAAAAACGTGTGTGGAAAAAACAGACTGCAAGCACTAACAAAGCTAATTTTGAAGGCCTAATTATTTATTCGGAATTTTGCACACAAAGTTGAAAACCATAACATGATGGTGTCTCCCGTTCAATGCTAACTATTTTTATACTCTTGCATATTATTAGATGCAAGTAATTGATTAACAAACAACGCTAATTCGCGCATGTGATCGTCACGGGCTGCGCGCGCATTCCGCTGGGGAGGCGGCGCGGCGCGTGCGCACATTCCGTTTCACATAATACTGTGATTTGCACTCTTTGCCGCATGGAAATTAAGGGAGCTTAGAATCTATTAGACGATGTGTAATATAAATTATTAGGAAATAATGCACGATGATGAAGTAGAAATTGTTTCAAGCAATTGAAAACAGTGTTTCAGACTTTAACTCTCCCTCCCGCCTCACCCAGACGGGAGCAGTCATTCGATGATTTTCCCCCCTTAAAAAAAGACCTTAACTTTTTTAGGTTCTCAAAATACCTGCGCCAGTAGTGACTGAAGCGTACAATTCTAATACATATGGATAATGAAAGGTAAAATAATACAAAAATGATGATATTACCGGTTTTGAATGATCTCGCGCCAAATATCAAAATCCCAAACACTGATAAGTACAAAGATTTGTAAACAGTATCGTTTCAAGTTTAAATTTTACACAGCAAAGACGCAAGCAACCCACAAGCTTGCTTTTGTAAAATCCAGTGTTATAAATTTTTTGGGTGTGCTTTGTAGGAGTCGCTTGACCTTCAATGTCAAACTTCGGTTAGTTAATGGATAAATAATTTAATTTACGGCACATTGAGAAAAACAAAACTTGTAAACATGAAAACATGGAAGCTGTAAACCTTTCTTTTATCAATAACATAGAGCGAAGACAAACGGATATCAATCTTATGCAATATGCATATGCATATTGGAGAACAACGCTTCATGGTAAAAATAACGGCGTCATGGTGGAATAGGTTTCAACAGCGTTTGATCGAACATTGCAAATGCGAATGAACAATGTTGAAAAAACACAAAATGCTGTTGTTATTGAAACACAGAAGAAAAGTAAAAATTGTAGGATCGCATTGCCGAAGCGCTGTGCATTTACCACTGAAGAGTTACCACTCGAACGCGCTGAGCCGCCGCGGGCAAACGTGTGCCGCCAACCGCCATTATCACTTTCACGTTCGCAAATAAAAAAAGCGCGGGAATCTTGTGCGAGAAGTTTCACAATTTTTATTAAATAATAACGAGCAGTAATATAATTGGCAACTAAAGATTGAACCACCGTGATATCGGATTGTTTTCAAATACACAATCATGATGTGAAAATAAAACAGGTTCAAACGTTTAACAACTACAGCAGAGAGCACGCGTTTTTCAAAAATCGAGAACCGCCGCACGTGAATTTCGCGGTGATTCTTTTTCTACTATTTCTATTTCTTTATCTTGGGTTCTTTCGTCTACTGGTTTCTATACTTCGAGTTTCATTCGTCAATAGGTTGTGTCGAGTTAGTTGCGTGAATTGATACTAACTTTGGAACTGTTATTAGTGCAGTGTAAGAATTGTGCATCAATACGTGTGGACGTACCTACTGTTAGTGCGTTCGGATCCTGCAGTTGTCTCTTTGATATAATATGGGTATGATTTGGAAATCCGCCATGCCTTTACTGACCACGTTGGCCGCTTTGGTGATTATAGTACATTCTGCAGAAGAAGATTTAGAGGCAGAGTATCGACATGACTTAAGGCCTAGAGCATTGGATACAGGAGCACCTAATTACGATCAGGTAAAACGTCATACACTAATTTAAAATTATAATAATGGTTAGATAGATGACTAAGTTACAAGCATCGTAAAAGATTATGAAGTAGCTAAATAGGTTGTAATTTCAATTGACAAAGCTTTTTTAAGTTTTTTGCAATGAAACTTAGAAATAATAAAGAAAACATTATAGGAAAATAAAATACTTAGGAAAAACAAGAAAAATGTGCCAGGTAAACTGAAAAGATAAAGGATTGTTATCAAGTCTCTTTATTCCTTTATATTATTTCCTTATTTATAAGGAGTATAAGAATAGCACCTTAACCAGTATTGTCACTGTTATTACAGAAAACGTATAAGTCGACTCTTTTGTTATGGTGTTTTGCATCAAAAGCACCTAGGTATGCGAGAAGTAACAGAAACACATAGCTACGCTACATATATCAGGAAATTGATTTTGATTCTTACTATTCACTCTTTTGCGATTGTTTCATAACAATGGCTGCGTTCTTTTATAGTTTTCTATTTTTACACTTTTCTCCTCAAGGAGTTTACAAAACAATGCAATAGTAAACTTTTGGCTATAAACATTTAAGTACTTTTTTGTGCGACAAGCACTTCGTTACTGATTAATAACGCACGCAGTAGCCAAATTAAGAGATTATTACCAGTAACTTAAATTAAAACGTGGTGTTTGGTAAATACAATAACGAGTTTGTGGGTGGATATAAGTCCGCTGCGTACTTAATAGTATACAAATTGTACTGCGCTATCATAAAATTACATCCTTAAGCGCGTTCTAAAATATAAGAGACACTGACGACAAGTTAGTTAGGGAAAGTACCTACTGACTGCCTTGTAATAAAGAAGAAGAGGAGAAAACATTTGTAAAAAATACTATTCCATTAGGTAAATAAACAGGCACGTAGGTTAAACGTTTACTTTCTTAGTACAAAAGAATTAAAATGGAAACCAAAAGTAAAAACAAACTACTTACAAAGACTCCGTGATTAAAAAAATCGGAACTAATCTCGATGATAACAAAGTGAAAACTAGTTACAAAGAAGGGATAGGAAGCAAACAAAGTCTAGATCTACATTAGACTAGTCTAGAAACTGGTCTAGAAATCTGAGGGAGGTGCAGAGTAAGTGGAGCGTGGTCGCCTGTCCGCATCAATTAGACAATTGACGTGTGTATATTAAGGCCAGTAGCGAGAAAAGCTGCAGTTCCATGTTTGAAGCGAGTGATATATTGGCATATTGATTGATAGTACAAGCAGTGTGCAGTTGTGCTCATACCGATAGTCTTTCAGCAATAATTTACTTTTTTAAACATTTACTTCGACGCGTTAGCTTTTTGCTGCAACTTCCTATTAGAAATGTTCAATGGTAATTTCTGTTTAAACCGAGGACAAAAAATAGAATGTGCATTGTACAAAAAATGAGACAGGAATTAAGTAAACTGGCCGACAGCGATCGAAATCGGACTATAAAACTGTTACAATTTATTTTACGATCAAACATTTTCTCCTCTCGGTAACTCTCGCGATATGATCTGTACAAATATGGCGAACAAATTGCCAAGACACACAGTTTTAGTTCAGTGTACTGTATATTATATTGTAAATTGGTCTACTGGATACTGCAGGCAACAGCCCGTGATATTACACGATCATATACATATTTTCAAATTCATAGTTTTTTACTAAAGCAAACGCAATTAGTTGAATTAATAGGCGGTTGAACATACAGGTAAAGGATGTTTTTTGAAAAGCTATTCCATAATAAGACTTTAAACATTTGGCCTTCGGTATGAGCAAAACGCTATCGCTATGTTTTTGGTTCAGTTATGACATCACGCCGCGCCGCTTTCTCAAAGTTCAGACTTCTGTCTCAACTTTAAGAGAATGAAGGAATGATGTAGGCACTTGCCCACAGCATTTCTTCAGTTTTGTTGGGCTTGTGGGCGCTTAGAGTAGGGAATGTAGGTGCTCACCCAATAACCTCAAGGAAGACGGCGGCATGGTGGTTACGTGCCACCGACCCACCGTCCGCACAGTGAGGCTCAGGGAAGACACACAGGTGCCATATCGCGCGTTGTACCATGAGGTTGGTCTACTACCCGTACCTGTTTCAGGTGCGGATGGTGGAGAGGAGGTTTTAATGGGGTAAAAATCCCGCACTCCCTAGTCTTTTTCCTTAAAAAGCTTTTGAAGGCTTCCCCCAACAAAAAAGGTCTATTCTAATAGGAAGCGACATTTTACGAATGTCGGGCATAATCTCGCCACCTATGCGAATGATAATTTCGAACTCACATACAGAATAGCACTGCTCTTACCGATGTATGAAACTTGCGACAATGTTCTCGTTACCGTGGGCATCTTATGTCATTAAATTGGGGACACTATTATTGCCACATATCGAGTCCAAAATCGAATACAATTTCACAATTGAAAAAAATCCATCACTTAGTCGCAATTTACTAATACATCGTTACTCAGCAGTAACGCTTGCTACCGCTACCTACACCAACGAAGCATTTCTTCTTTGTAGTTTATTGAATCTTACATAAACCGGCAATATACTCTTAAAAGAGTATTGTAGAACCGGTTTATAGTTCAAGTAGGGTTAAGAGGTCAAACGTTGGACAATCTAGTTGTGGTGTATTCAATTGTGAGTGGCAGAAGAATGTTTATTATACAAATAGTACAACAATAACAAAACAACTGTACTAGTTCAATAGAGATTAGTAATTGCATTGTAAGGGAACTTCTTTCATTGATTGATGATGAAGAAGTACTGAGTCCTAGCATGCGTCAGCACGGGTTTCTACTTTTGCTTACAACATTGGAGATAGACTAGCATAGAAACTATATTTTATCGTCAATAAAAATACAAACTTCTATAATAAACTGAACAAAAAACTTACAAAGCTTTCCTAAGATTACATCACAAACGAAAAAATCCTTAAAAAATGCATACATCGTTGCTTTCTACGGTATGCCATATTTCACATGAATGTTATAATATAATATAATATTATCATATTACGTATTAACGACCCCGCATTAACATAAGTCACATGGCACGTAGCTGTTGATTCGAGTTTGCAGACCGGTACCACGGTACTTTCAACTTTCCTTGCTTGCTGGCCGCGGTTATACCATCATTTTGTAACAGCTTTCTTTATTCAAAGATGAGATAACTAATTTACTTTATTTGAACAGATGTGTTTCACGATGAGACGCGGTTTTTTGTGGATTTTAGTTTACTTTTTTTTGAAGTAGATTTTTTTTGTTTAGGTATTTCGTCTTTTCTGATTAGTTGTTTAAATTGGTTTTCAATTTTACAAATAATAATTGGTAATTATTGCAGTTCTGTATGAATTGTTATCCATTAAATTACCTAAGCCGAACCAGAAGAACCGATGAGAACCACTCGTAATTGTATTATTGTTTGCATTTTTACCTTTGACTGCCTCGTTGGCCGAGTGGTTGCAAGTGGGACTGCTGGGCAAGGGGTCTCCTGTTCGATTCCCGTGTCGGGCAAACTATTACTGGGTTTTAAAAAAAAACTCAGTAGTAGCACGGAGTCTGGAATTGTGCCCGGTATATAGCAATAGGCTCACCCCCTATTACATGGGACTTATAACATAAATAGTGAAAGGTGGGTGTTACATTGTACAGTGGCATAATGTGCACCTCTACCTACCCCTTCGGGGATAAAAGGCATGATGTTATGTTATGTATTTCTTGGAGCATGTTTTTTGAACTATTTGTTTTCCGTCCTTACTCCGTCATCATAGCTATTCATAATAACAGTTACCCACTGTAACAATAAAAGTAAGTAAAGCGAATATAATACATCAAAAATTAATAAATCATTCTAAATAATTATTGAAAACGAAATCCTTTCGTAACGCCTGAAGCTCAAGCACAACTATTAAAATGTCATGACTAAGATATTTTAGCTAACTAATATGGATACTTCGAAATCAATCATATGCCTTTATTCATCACTAGCGCTACCTGCGGCTTGGCCCGAGGGTAAAAGAGAAGTAATAATGAGTGGTAATAAGCCTATGTCACAATTCAACCTTAGAGGCTATCACTTATAAGAGTCATGTCAAATATAGAGAATATTTGACTTGAAAGAAAGATGTTTAAATAAAAGCGTAGTTTTTATAAGTTAAACAAATAGATTTTGTTCACAAGTTCAACATCATAACGATCAGATACTGATATATTTTTCTAATAAGACATAAGTAAATATTAG